TCTAGATGCTGTATAGCTAATTTGCAGTTAAATGTGTTCAAACCAGTGATCATTAAAAATGTTCTGCAATCTATCCGTCTCCTCTCAGACGCCATCATTTCTTTTGACAAGCATTGCATATCTGGAATACAACCAAACACTAAACGGATCGAATGGCTTATGAATCAATCATTGATGTTGGTCACGGCGCTTAATCCGCACATTGGTTACGATAAAGCTGCCAAGGTTGCCAAAAAGGCTCACATCGAAGGAATTACGCTAAAAGAGGCTGCAATCTCGCTCGGCTTTCTTACTGACGAGCAGTTCGACACCTGGGTCAAGCCTGAAAATATGATTGGCCCAAAATAAACGGCACGCTTTTTATTTTTACCTCATAATACATGCTGGCTAATCGTTCATAAATTTTAATTTTAAATTGCATTAAATTATGGGAGCATCGGAAGTTGATTGTTAAAATCAAATATAAATATCTTGCTCAAAAGATTTTCAAAAGTATCTGTTGGGTGGATTGGCTGATCGACAGTGGCCAGAATTGCGGCGATTTTACCTGCTGCTATGGCATTTGCATATGAAGTTCCAAATATCGATATTTTTCCTTCATTTCTTCTTACTTGAACATTGCAGGCCAAATCATAAAAAGTAGCATCATAGTTTGAAGGCGTATATAATCGATAAAAGTGATGCCGGAACAATGTTTTCCTTTGTAAAAAGGAATATGCCATAAGGCCACCAATTGAATAAACTCCTTTTATGGCTGCAGGCCATGTATATTTTGCAGAGACATTTTCAGACCCTGCCGCAACCAAGACATGGACATTACGCTCCAAAAGTGCCCGTATTTTTGACGTCATCTTGGCTATCATAGCTTTATTTTCGTTTGACCTGACATTTTTCAACTCAATAGAAAACGACAACACGAGAACACTATGTCGACTTTTTGCAACAGGCTGTTGAATTTTTTCGCAAAGCTTACAAAGAGCCATGTCTAGCAGATGATCAGCTACAAGGCCGCTATACATTTTTGAGGCTATAGGAATGTCATAAATCTCAACATCCTCCTTCTTTAAACAGTCTATTTCGTCAAGAATCAATGCTGCAATATTAGTTCCGTGGTCTTGTTCGGGAGCAGACGTCAAATATGGAGCGACATTTTGTGTTTGTAATTTTCGATGGCCTGGCAAAGGATCGTATTTGATATTCTTTGTGTTAACATAGCCTGCAAAGAGATTTTCCTTGCATATCTTTGTATCCAATATATAGATGTCTACGGGGAATGCACATGCTGCTGCCGCAATTGCCAATACCAGACCATGCACAAAAAGCAGCATATCCATTTAGCCTTTCAAAATACGTTGTGACATGCAATTGTTTTGGAGCGAAATTGCCTGTCAAGGATTTGTATTGCGACTCTTGACGCACCATGTTAAATTAAACCAAAATTTTTGAGTGTAAAATTTGATTGAAAAGTCGTTTACATTTTAAATCGAATTTTGGGCATACCGGCTCCCAGATCCGCCAAAATCAATTCTTCTTTCACGGGGCTGCTCAATGGAGTGTCGAAGACCCTATGTTGCCAAAAATTATTCCCATCTGGTAATAATGCAACTTTAACCACATCTAGCCAACCCCACAGATCGAAATTACCGTGTCGGTATCTTTCTGATATGTTAACGATAGAACAGTTCGGCCTCCATGACCACTGCCATATCAAACGCAAAATTTATAAGGATAGGTCGCGAACATGAATACTCGTACTTGCATAAAATGATAAAGAGCTGCATTCTTGAAAAACGGGGCGCCTCTATATGTTTGCATGGTTGTAAAGTTACTTGTTAGACGTCTCAGGTGTCCCGGGATCAGGAAAGACCGAAACCGTACGCGAAGTTATTCGAAATTTAGAATCACATCCCGTTGGAAGAGCTGCAAAATTTTCTGAGATTAACGGGTTGAAACTCACAAGCCCCAAGCAAGCATTTGTGGAGCTCTATTCTATGATCTTTACGCAAATGAGAATATCTGGCAATAGAGCACAGGAGCTATTGGATTTGTACTTTCAAAGCTTGGAAAAATCAGCATGCCCACCGCCCACCATGTAGTAAGTCGAGATTGCACTTATTTTTGTAGTGTGGTGATCGTCGATGAGATCGATTTGCTGCTAAACAAATCCCAGAACATTTTGTACAACTTTTTCGACTGGCCCAATCGGCCAAACTCTTCGCTACTTTTAATCGCGATAGCTAATACCATGGATTTACCAGAAAGAATTTTTAATAACAAAGTCTCTAGCCGGCTCGGGTTGCATAGAATTGACTTTTCGCCATATACGCATCAAGCACTTACTGACATTCTTCTTGAGAAACTCTCGACCTTTCAGTTCCAGAAAGATGCGATTGAATTGTGTTCAAGAAAAGTTGGTGCCGTATCCGGCGATGTACGGCAAGCAATAAGCTTTTGTGATCGCGCCAAGCAGATTGCGATCAAAAAATGCACTTCAATTGTGACGCTAGAGGATGCACACCAGGCCATTCAAGAGGTTCTTGCATCTGACCGGAAATCGCCTCTACAAGGACTTTCTTTCCACTCTCTGTTGTTTCTTATAAGTGCCTACAAGTCTCTGCGAGCAGAGCAAGCATCAAAGTCTACAAAAATCGAGCAGGTCTCTCTTTCTTGTACGCTGGAAAAAGTATGCACAATAAGCTAACTTGAATAGGTCCTGGAGATGCATTGTCAGCTTTGTAGATCGTATGACTTGGATGAAATCTCGGAGGCAAATTTCAGGTCAATTGCAGTGATTTTGGCCTCGATGAAGTTAATAATTTTAGAAAATGATTCTCCTCTATGGCTCCATTCACTTCGCTTCAGGAGCTCCATTGATGAGGTGCAAAAGCTTCTTTGTTCGTTTCAAATATCAGAGTCGCAAAAGTGGATATCGGCAACAACAGAATGGAAGTCGTTGAACACCATCATGTCAAAACTGTAGCGATATATAAATCACATTAGCAACTAACCACGGTGTCAAATTATGGAATTTCCTTAAAATTTATGTCTGTAAATAAATAAATAAAATTGCAGGTGGCAAGTGGCGGTCTAAAGACATTCTTCATTAGACAAGGCCTCAAGTTCATCTCTGTGTTTCTGGATTGACTTTCTATATCTTCTAGCTTCCCTGTTCCTTCCTTTCAAAGCACTTGACTCGCTTTTCATCGCCAAATATTCAGCCTCAATGCTCTGTAGTGTCTTTTGATCAGGCCCTTCGGCCCCAATGTCAATCTCAGGTTCAGCCACCCCATCAAGCTCCTTAAATTGGCCCTCCATCACATATCGCTTGTCAATCTTTTCAACTAACGCCCTTTTAACAAAGGAAACATTAGAATTTGATTTTATCGACACACTAGAAGGCTTCACAGAAATAATGGGACGTGACTTGAAATGTCGCAATTTCTTTTTGCGATTCTTTGACATTGAAGCGTGTTGAGTTTTGTGGTCCTGGTATTCCAACTTCTTTACAATCTTTAAAAGCTTTCTTGGAACATAATTGGGATCGTCCTTTGCAGAAAAGAGCCTTTCAACGGGATCTACAGTCTTGGTTGGACGATTGTCATTTTCGCTCCACAGAGAAGCCAAATCAAGCCGTACACATTCCTCGGGCGTCATAATATTTACATAAATCGATTTAAGGTCAAATAAAACCCAAGGATCGCTTTTTGCGTCGCCATGTCTATATAGTTGGGACAGTTGCGGGTTTTTGAAAAAATCAATAAACTCTTCACAGGCCGAAATTCGGTGCCTTTCATTAGCAATTGGCACCACAACTATCCACTGCGCAGGAGAATGCAGCTTTTGCCTTAGGTCTATGAATTGGATTTCATCCTTCAGAAGAGGGCATTTTTCAAAGAAAAACGCTTTAACAAATTCAATGGTCCATGGTACTGGATTCAGCTTTCGCTCGGAAAGCATGTCCAGCTGCTTGCTCTGGTCTCTGATTTTTAAAGAGTCGTACTTTTCTACCAAAGCACCAATATCAACACCAATCACATCGCTATTCAAATGTGACTGTTCAATACTGCAGTCGAATTCCTCCAAAAGAAGGGATTCGCTTCGCATCCTGTGACGAACTCTTTCCTGGATAGCCTTTCGCTTTGAAATTGGTAAAGTAGACGGATTTAACGCTGTCTCTTTCGATGCTTGCAATACCAGTCTAGAGGAGGCCCGGGGGTAACGCCTGAAAGGAATCCATGAATGAACAGGGAACATTTTTAAATTTAAAATATAAAGTTTAGGCTACAATGTACATGCGAATCGCAATTTTTATCACCTCTTGAATGGCTTCGCTACTGATGTCAATGCCTGCAACAACAAATAAAGATATTGGAAACTCGCCAACGCTTTCGATTTTGGAATCGCATAATTTGGCTACAGGATTGTCATCATCTACAGGAAGTATATTGGACAACACCATGTCTCCGAGTGACACACCCATTCAACCCGCATTTCCCATGCCATCGGCTTCAACGTCGTCATCATCATCATCATCATCCTCAACGGCAAATGCCCCGCCTTCACAACAAGAAAGATCATTGCCCGGATCCTCATCATTAGCTTCATTTCATCGACCCGCATATACACCATCCTCAGCTGCATCTTTTTCCACAGCAGATTCTCTTCGCCCTGTTGTGAAGCTAAGATTTGGAGATAAAATCAAAAGAATTGTGCTTCCAAAATCCGAAATGGCCAGTCTCACAATGGCAGGTTTGAAGGCCCTCGTAAAAAAGCATTTCCATCTTGAAGAGGAGCTTTCATTCAAATTCAAGGATACAGAGGGAGACTGGGTACTTCTTGAAGACGATACAGATCTTTCCAATGCCATTGCGATTGGCCCAATTTTAAATGTTCGCGTGATTAACAACGAGCTTGAAAGCTTTGAAAGCATCAAGGAAATTGTCTCGTCATTTCAACCGCAGCTTGAATCAATCTTGACCATGATCAAGGAACTGTTGCTTGCCGTTGACAAGCAAAAGAGCGGAGAAAAATATCGGAACCCGGATATTTCGATAAATAATGCTATTTCTTCTTCTCAGCAAACTGCACCTGCTCAGCAAGCTTCATTAGGACACAAGCCACAAGATCAGGCTGCCTTCCCCCCAACCGGTTCCGCTCCACCGCTTCAAATGAAAGGGCCAGGAGCCATGGAACATTCTCCACAACCGCCCTCTGCTTCTGCACCGATGGCTTTTCCTTCTCATTCGGCTCCTCATCCTCCAAACCAAAAGCCGCATGCATCTTTCCCCTATCCTGCGCCACCATCGGCAGGACCCACACCATCTGGGCTTCATCTTGGTACTCAGGGGCCCCATTCTAATATGCCAAATTCGCCTTACCCAGCTCCTCCGGCCCCTTCAACCCACTTTTCCCAGTCATCTCAGCCTCCTCTTCAACAATCGCAAACGATGCAGCCTGCAAAGCCATCAATGCCCAGCTCTCCTGCTCAGATGGGAGGTTTTCCAGGACAGCCCCAACAATTTGGCGGCGGTCCTCAAATGATGCCGCCCCCTCCCTCTGGATTCCATGCAAGTCATTTGCCGCAATCCACAACGTCCATGAGGCCTGGCAATCCCCAACCTCCACCTTCTGCACCTTCAGGTCCCTCATCAACATATATGGGCGCCAATCCTTCTTTTCAGCAAGGACAACCGTCTCAATTTCAAGCATCTAATCCTAATCCTCCCCCAAGCCTTCAGGGCGCACCACTTCATCACCATCAAATGGCGTCTGGAAACCAAATGCACCAACAAGGTGCCCCTGGTCCTATCTATTCAAATTACCCATATCAAAATTCAGCGCAGGCACACCAGACTTCCCCTCCCTATCGCTAGAGAGTATTTTGTTAATAAACGTGCAGGTGAATTCGAGATTATTAATAAATTTGGACACCACGGTGCTTTTATTTTAGAAGAGCTTATTCAAGGCAATCGACTCGCGGAACAAATTCGGGCCGTGCTCATCATAGTCACACTTCAGATGGCAAATATCTGGAAATTGAGGTGTAGATGCAAAGAGGCTCCCCCCATACCACACGGCATATCTTTGGCACGGGTGTGATAGTACATTTACATCAAGAGATGACCCCTAGTGATGAAGATTTAATGAGATGCCAAAGCAGTACCTGTTGACGATTGTTGATTATCGATTTCAAGTCCTTTTGAATTCGGCGTCCAAAGTCCTTGAAAAGTGTGGAACCTCCAGACAACACTATATTCTATCGATATTGAATTTTATAGCCCAAACCGAGTAAAGAGCCCGGCGCGCATCAATCGGTGAAGACTGAATGACCTTATCGATGAGGTCTGGAAGAGGAGTATCATATGAATCGCTAACAAGCGACGGGGAAAAAAAAACTTCAGATGCCATAAACCTTTCTCTTTCAAGTTGCATCTTCTATTATTAGGGAAAAAGACGCAAAACCTTGCCATCAGGCAGCACAAAGTCCTTCACGATCTTGGAGGGATCTTCAGAAAACTTGAGCGCCTCTTTTTTTGGATCTGAACACGTGTAGCAAAAATGCTCTTTAATTCCTCGAGAAATATCAAAGGTATTTGAGCTGATGCTTGGGTGGAAAGCTCCTCGTTCCCTTAAAAGGGACTGAATGTAAAATGTTATTTCTCGACCAGCAATTGGAATGCTCTGAATGGCAGAGCTTATGACAAAGCCATCGATCACTGGAATGACGTGCGTAACGCCATCTCCAGAATCAACAACCGTCCCCGTAAGTGAGGGCTTAGCTGATGAATCTTGAATAGGCGACGCAGCCCAAGAGGCTGCCAACGCCAAAACGGCCTGAACGGCAATGTGAAGACCTGCGACATTGAAGCTTTCAAATGCGATCTCCGCAGTCATCGCCCTATTTTCAGGTGGATTGAGAGGAGGTTCAGTCAATAAAAAAAGATGATCTTCCGGCTCGCATTTCAAACAATCAAAAATGGAAGACTGCCAGAACCTCTCCATCAAATCCCAATCGCATATTTGGCCATGCCTTATGGGATAAAGTAGAGAATACTCTCTTGATTTGGCGAGTTCTGTGGCTGCATTTCCTATAGGAAAATCTTGGTCGATAGACCCAAATGTCGATTTCGCAGATGAGGCTGATGCAGAGAATGCGGCAAGCGATGAGGATGAATTGGAGCCCATCCCTTTGGATGCCATTACAGTCGGAATAATGACTTGTGGCGCAGAATTTCCGGCATAACCCATTTTGGTAAAGCTAATGGTTAATTAATGTCTAGCCACAAACCCTGTGCCATTGTCGATGATTACGGCAGGTCGCGAAGAGTGTCCCATAAATCGAAACCTGAAATCGAAACCTTAAATTGAAATCTTAAATTGAAATCTGAAATTGAAATCTGAAATCGAATCCCCAAATTGTGGTTTCAATTTTAAGGCGCAACCGGTGATTAGCCAATATCAAGTTAAGCCCCTGATATTTCAAAACAGACTTTATTCGGTTTAATAAAATCGCATTCGATGAATCGTAAGAACGCACTGAACATTAGTATAATTCACCTGCCATTTTTTGGACTTGTTGGATCTGATCGACTGATCCTAGACACTGCTATTTCTTTTCAAACTAAAGGACATACTGTAAAAATATACACAATAGATTATGATCCTACGATGAGCTTTGCAGATGTGGCATCTGTAAACATAATCTCTTGTCGAACATATTTTCCAGTACACTGGAATGGATTTGGCAGCCGTTTCTTCTACTTTCTCAAGGCCATGGTATTGATATTTTGTTCATTTAGTTCTATACTCAAAAGCGATATTGTGTTTTGTGACCAGCTTCCTAATCCCATTCTTCTGCTACGCATAATATCTTATTTTTGGTGGGGAAAGAGCCCTTTTTTTGGATTCTATTGCCATTACCCTGATTATTCGGACCCTTACAAGGGGGGAGGCCTACTCAAATACATTTACAAAGATGTCTTTAATAGAATTGAAAGGCTGGGGATGTCTTTGGCTGATGTTGTATATACAAATTCTACCTTTACAAAGAATGCTATTTTGGGTTATTATCCCAATTTCCCTCATCATAAGGTTCGAGTGCTATATCCTGGAACTCCAAACGCAGGGGCTATAAATGAATCTAATTTTGCAAAAGATCCTATTTTGTCGATTCTGAAGGGATCTGTGATTCTTTCTTCCATTAATAGAATAACCCCCTTTAAAAAAATCGAGCGTGTCATAAAATTGGTTTCTGAGATGAAAAAGCATTACGCGAATTTCATTACCGTCATTGCAGGGGGAAATTGGGATAAT